AACCTAGTTGGTGGTTTGTCATTTACAACGAGCAAACGTTATGAGCTGGAATAAAAAGGCATCGCGTGGAATGTGTATAACAGGTGAATTTTAAATTTTTTCATACTTACAAATGATACAAAGTCGTAAAACGCTAAATTGATAAAATACTTTACGTAATATTAATATTTTGACAAGAAAAAAGTTGACTTATTCGTTATTGAATGCACTACACAAAACGAATATTGTCGGATAACTTTCTGCCTTTGACAGTACATTATTAGTTTCATGAATGATGGAATAACGAATATTTCTGCACTGTATACGTAATATATGTAATATTTAATTTATGCTGCACGATCTTAAAATCTTTATTTTATAAAAAAAAATAATAAAAAAAAAACACTTGAAAATTTCGTGATAAAAAAAAAAACACGAATAACTAGCACGAATAAGAATGACATTAAAAATTATTTCGGTTAATGGATATACGGTAATAGTGATATATAGACAGACTTTAAATTACTAGGAATATTTCAAGTATTGCGTATAGTGTATGTATTTAGCTATCGTATAGAATATGTTTATGGAGATCGTGATTCGGTATTTAACTTTCTCGTTGTTTTTTATTATTAAAATTTTCCCCTACACGTCGTTGATAAAACGAGGTTAGTTTTTGCTTAAGGTTTTTTTTTTTTTTTATGGCTGTGTGTTTAGCTGAATATTTTAATTTATTTCTACAGAAAATACGAACAAACTTTGGAAATGTCTAGATTGGTAGTTCATCATGTAGCTCACTCGTAGCAGGTTCTGTAAAGGAAATACGTCTATTATTTACTCTTATAATAATAAAATAATTGTATTAGAAAATTTTTTGTCGAATAATCCGCACTATCATAATCGTTTTTAAATCTTGCAGCATCAAGAAAAATTCACACTTAAACAATATTTAATGAACCCAATAATCGTGTGATCAGATTTTTAAAACTGATCGAATAATTATGTTCCTAATTATCGATGAGAGATTAAGACGATTTTTTTTTTTAAGTTTCTTTGGGCCGTATAAGATTTTCGATCAGAACGAGCAGTATGAGTTTTGTTTAAAATTCAAACGAATTCATAGAATTTGGTCAATTTGATACGGTTTAAGTTATTGCTGTTTAAATACAAACAGTTTTCAGATGAATACTAGTTTCTACTTAGTTTATATTATCAATAATAACTTTAAAGTGATTTTCAAGTTACGTATTAAGTTTCTTATAAGTCATTAGAGTCAGGAAACTGCATAGATAATGATAAAAAAAATTAATTCTCACACAAACACAGGATGCACAGAAATGAATGGTTAATAGCGCTTTTAGGTGTGCGTTGTTTATATTATTTTCTAACGAGTATTGGATGCACACGACTAGTATATTACTATCAATGCAATTAATATTCAAAACTGACGAAACACGGTGTCGTTAGTTTCCGGTGTATCACTGCAGATATTTTTATTTTTTACTACAGCTCATTCCCGGAACAATATTGCTGCAGTACCACATTCAGTTACCTGATATCCAATGCCGCAATAACCGGGTGTGTTAAACACATGGGCCCATGGTCCCAGCCTGTAATATGGCGGGCCCAATGTTAATATTTAAAAAATATGTAAAAAGCGAGGAAATAAAAGCATTTCGTAACAATAATTATTAATGGATATTGAACAATAATTCGTTGATTTTGTTTTGTACATATTATCGTACATCAATACATTAAAGTTTCTTTTGCGACCTGTATAATCAAAATTCTAAATTTGTTGGTTACAACTGATTGAAAATACATTTTCCTTATAGAGTCCGGACGCTGAGGAAGAGGGCATTCGTTTTATTTACACACGGGCCCAAATTAGTGCAGTTGCGGCTATCGTAACGACTATTATCGCGATAAGTCTACGATCGAGGTTTCCAAGAGTGATTCGGTGATCGACCGAAAAGTGTGGATGGAATATTAATTATTTATTACCCAAACACACACACACACACACACACACACACACTCTCATATGGTCCAGGAAAAATACCACCCTAGGCGTGGGCCTATGTCGCCTACCCCTTGAGCCGGGCCTGGTGGATAGCGATTTGCAATATTTTATTATTTTCTTTACGTGTAAATTTTGGTAAACGGTACGGAGTGGAAACATTTTTGAACGGTTTGTGTACAAAACGATCTGATTGTAGTCATTCAATTCACCGTGTTTGAGAAGAACTCCAGTTGGAGAGGGGAAATGGTTGTGATATGATCCGAGCACAGGACAATCACTAAATTCGTGTTGCTATCTGCACGCTCGGTTGCGGCAACCTATAAACCCTCCGTCGCAGTCAATGACGCTGAAGTCCTAAAAATTTAGTAGGGCAAAAAATATTTAAAAATAATACAAAATCTAAATAATGACCCAAATGGCGTTGGGCGGTAGATAGTTATTTTTATCCAAAAAATATTGATGTTAAGCTTTGATTTTGTAATGAAGCTTCCATACGGTTTAGCAGCCGAACTTTGGTCCGATATAAAGTGGCTCCATCCTAGATGTTCAAAAGACGTTGGGCCAAGACTTGACTTCAGCAACAGTTACGGCAGTGGTTAGCGTGCGATGGTACGGGTTTTTGATGAGTCACGAGCGAAATTTATGTACATTTTACGCAAAAAGCTCAACAACCATTTTCTGTAGATGATCGTTGCGCGTGCACCGCGTTTTAATCACATACTACTCATAATTTTAAGTTTAAATCTCGATACATTGCTGATATTGTGCACGATATACCATAATATACGGTTTCTTTCGAATAGTATACTCCTTAATAATACGATTTTAATTGCCATAGTTTATTTCATGGTTTATATATATATATAATAATAATAATAAATTAAAATCTTGGAATATTTCTTTACAATATTTTTATTTTTTATATTTTATATTTTATTTTTGCTGTTGTATAACAATAAATAAAATAAATCGCTTTGATGTTATACAAGTTTGCTTTTTATTACTAGTAATTATTTATACTTCTCGTTCTGAAATTTGACATTTATTTAAAAAATAACGCGTTTTATAGACATGTATAATCAAGTGCGGATCCAGCTTAGGTTAACGGAAGTGGTGATAATGTATAAGTATGCATAACTAGAAAATACGGTTTTTTTTTAATATATAGGTAGGTATATGGATATATGTGTGTGTGCAGTAGTAAATAATACAATTCTTTATCATTTATAATTAATACTTTTTTTCTTAAACAGCATTTAATTTCTTTGCTAATTTGCTTCGATTCATATATAAAATCTATCTCTTTCTTATTAAAAATACTATACATACACGACATATACATATACATATACTATACTTACAACTACTATAAAATAACATTTTGTTTTAAACTTGTAAAACTTGTATTCCTTGCTGTGCTTTTTAAATATTCATTAATTTCTCGCTTCCGTTAGGATTTGCGTTCTTCTGTGTCACAATAGACAACGAAAATTTATGACAATTCGAAACTGATCTCGCTTTCTGTATATATATGATAAACCATAGATTTTGGATATTCTAACTATCTGTTATACCTCTCTGTATAACTCCGTTGAACTCTCCACTGAAAATAAATAAACAAGTAAATAAAAAACGTATTTGCTCAATTGATGTTAGTCGACTTGGAAACGTTGAGAAATTTGGTTGAACGTTCGGGCGGATCTTTCGTCTCGTGGTCGGCGACTAATGTTTTCAAAGAAAAAAAAAAGTTAAAACTTGGGCATTATCGAATCGTCAAAATAAAAATAAAAAACGTCGATGTCGACAAGAATAGTATTGCGTTCGGGCGCGGTTGTGTACCCGTAGCTATATGGTTGACAATAACAAGGAATAAAACAGGAATGGGTTACTGGCGGCCTGCGTACTTTTTTTTATCTGGGTCGTGTTACATTTTCAAATCACGGAATTCATTTTAGTGGTTATCAATATCTGATTTTTTTCACGTTGTTCGTAAAATGTAAGTATTATATTTTTCTCTAACATTTAACTTCAGCTAAATCATTAAATTATATCCATATTGGCATAGCTAACTTTTCTGTATGTATTAGTCACTTATTCTATTGTAATGGTTCAGTCGTAAAATTAAAATAAATGCTAATTGTCAATTTAATTTTTATTTTTTTTTTCATTTTTGTTTTCTTTACTATGGTCCGCCAGATTTAACGGTTCTAAAAATTGGCCCTCAAGTAATTTTGAATTGCCCATCCCTGATACATAACAATATCGATACGATATGAAAATATCACTTTATCTGAACGACGTCAGATCACGCATAATCCGGGGCGTTCGCTTATCTGGATAGGTTAACCTTACCGGTAGATCAAATTTTTTTTTTACCATTCTTAGATCATGTACACCGGAGGATAGAAATTCGAGTGGGATGAAATCTCACGTAGAACCGTCGGACAGGACCCGATGCACATTTTAAAATTTTCACAACAGTCGTTCATCCCCCAAGCTGACGGGTGCGTCACGGTCATGTAAAGTCAGGGGTCAGGTTAGGTTAGGTTTAGAGGCTTTGGACGCAAAGCTGTTTATTATCTGTTACGTATCGGGGCTAGTTTAGGTTAGGTTAGGTTCTCTGACCCCCCGGTGACCAATGTACGCGGTTTGGACGTATCTCATCCCGGGTCGGCAACGACAGTATGTGGGCGACGCGTACAAAACGTACGGAGAAGCGGAATACGTTTGCGGAAAGGAAACGCTGTTCGACAGCAGCGGCGAGCGGACCATTGTCTGCACGCGTGCAAAATAAATAACCACTAGACACCGAATACGCGCGCGATAAGGAAAGGAAAAGAGCAAAAAAAAAAAAAAAATCGGAAACAACCGCCTGTAACGCGTTTTTTATTATTATTATACATTATTCAAATCTCTCTATCTCACTCTCTCTCTCTCCGATTTCTGGGCCGTCCGCCGTTTTCACAGAACCGTGTCTCTGTGGCGGCTGCCGCGCGACCTAACGCCGCGAGTACGCTCAGTAGTAATTCACCGGTCCGGGTGAAATGTTTTCCATTGTTGTTGGACGGTTACACGAGACTGCTGCTGGATAACTACTACTGGACACGACTAACCGACGTACGATACATACACGCGTGAGTATATCATTTAATAGTATTATTAAATTTCTCGTTTTTCTCGAGATTTTCAACTGTCTGTTGTTGTTTTTGACGTGATAGAGCACGGATATTTGTTTCGAAAAACGTATGCGAGTTACCGTTTAAATATATTAATAAAATGTCCGTGTGTAATATTATGCGGCGTATCACGTTCGAACGAACGGCGGTAAATATATTAACAGGTTTCAAACGAAATTGTTGGTCAGAAGTTACGTTTAAAAAGCGCTAATTGTGATGTACAAATTATTAGTAATTTGGTCGATTTTCGACGTGCGAATGAATCGCGAAATTTTTCAATCCCTCTAATCGTCAATCGAAGAAACTTGGAATTTTTTATAGACATCTCATTAGTGTACCTACCGTCCAGTGATTTTTAAGATTAAAATAAAATCATTATTTGCACTACATACACTCTAAAAGAGAATAATAAATTACCTATGACGAATGGTGTTGTTCTCAAATAGTTAAAATATTGGAAATTTCAATCGTGATTGTCAAATATACAGAACTTTGAGACAGTCGTATGCATACTGTTTCGAAGGACAATTACGACGTATACGAATCGATATTTAAATTTTAATAACTCATCATACAATATCATTGGTAGTTGTTCATGCAATGTTTTATATAATTTGTAAAAAATTAATATCATTTTTAATTAAACAACAATCTTCTCGGAATTTCGCAGGGATTTATTTTCACATTCCACAAGCATGTTGCATTTTTATAAAGTTTATAGATTTAATTAATAATTAATAATTTATTTTTGAAAAAAAAAATTGAAATACTCAAATTTTAAAATATCCGTTATCGAATGTCTAGATTTTATTATAATGGGCTCGTATCACTTTGATAATATACAATTATTTGAATTTATCGGAATCGTATATTAAAAATATTTTACTATTGGAAATTATAGAAATGAGCATATAAACACCGAATAGACTTGTTATATTAAAATAATTACCATGACAAATTTATAGGGCACTATAAATGTAACATTTTAAAGTTTTGCATTCAGTTATTCGTCTTATACTAACCAAAGGGTTCACTGAGAAATTAAAAATTAATTTCCTAGGTACGTACCATCTATGTTCAACCTTACTTATACGTAAGCAGATTTACTCTTCCAAATAGATTTTGTCTAAACATCATGGACCAAACATCAATTTATTATTATTATTCAAATAACAAATACTCGATTTAATCAAAACCTAAAAAGTATAAACAATCTATCTGGACACAAATAGATACTTACACAATAAAATATTATGAAATATTAATTCAATATTTTCCTCGATGTGAGATTTAAATCAAGTTTACGTGACTCGGATATTGTATCAATAATATTTTAGCGTAAGAACTCATACGTTATTAAATTTGTATATAATTAATATACCTTAATAATCATCGTTGGTGTTATGTCATTTTATGGAAGTGTCAGTATCGCATTTTTTCCTGTTACTAGATTTTTTTTTAATTATAATTTTATTTTGTAGATTTACGTTAATATCTAATGGGATCTTTTATACGATAAAATTAATAATTACCTTACTTTATAATTATTATTCGATAGTGTATGGTAAAAAGTTATCTTATGATAATATCGAAAGAGTAAAATAACAATTTACATGTATACTATCCTTACTAATTTCTAATGTATTATATTATTTTTTCTCCTATTTTATTAATTCCCAATCTGATTACTTGAATATATTATTAAATTTAAGAAATATTACAATAACTACTCAATTCAAATTTAACTTGTTATGTACCTATGAAATTAATTGATTAGTTTTTACGCTAAAAGCTAAATATTTTATGTACTTAAAAATTCCCAACATTAGAATATATAATAGTCTGATAAACAGTTCACACGTTTTTGCCTTAAAATCATTAGCGAATAATAACTTTTTAAAATTTTCCGAAAAACTACGTTTTTATATTTTCACATCTGCAAAACGTAGCCAATTTCGTTGCGAATTTCGTTGCGAATTTGCAGAATAATTATATGGAGAATATTATTGTAAAAACGCTTTGTCACGGTATCCATAATATTATAATTTGATTTTCAAAACCTGGGAAAGTTATGTAAATATAAAACTCAAAAAGAACCTTAACTATCAATGTTTTAATATTTTCGGTGTTTATCACTGTCAACACTATATCGACCGAAATGTTTCTATTGAATACTACATTATTAACATACAAATAATAAAATATAATAATAACATACAAAATTATTTTTCATGTAAAAACCAAGTAATCTTGACGTTAAACTAATAGTTACAGATTTAAATTCATTGTTATTATAACACCGCAGTTTACACATAAATACGTTTTTTTTTTTTTTTTAATAAATAAGTTTCTATACAATATGATATTACAAAAGTTGAAATAATTTGAGTTCAAACAATTTTTATATGTTATTATTTTTAATTATCCTTGAGTGATTTTTTTACATTGAAAATATATTATTAGTGAAAAACAAAAAAAATTTAAAAAAAATCATACAGTAGATCATTGGTGGTGAAAAATGAACACTCTACGAATAGTATAATAGATACAATTGTGGTCATTTTCCACTAGATCTTATTTATACATTAACATGGGTCATTTGTTTTATTATTAAAAAAAAAAAAAAATGTTCGCGATAAACGTCGTAATGTATCTTTGCAGTGCTTTATCCGATTAAAACATTACCCTTTTTCGATCGAATAACTCGTTCAAAACATACAAAACATACGATTTGTTTATAGAACCAAAATCATTCGGTGAAAAAAATTTACGTCGAATGTCAGGTCAGCCACCCATTATTATTCTATTATATGCTAACAGACTCTGACGGTTTTCCGAGGGTCAATAAAACATAATACATAGGTACAGTGTAAAATGACAAGTACATATTAAAAAAAAAGAAAAAAAAGTGCCGAATCCAATAGAATACATTACGTTGGATTTATATACAATGTGTAATGAAAAAAAACTGCGGATTAAATGTGTATTATAATATAATACATCTATTTAGTGTGTTATTCTAACGTAATTAAACCGTTACGTTGAATGATTGTATTAACATATTATGCAAATATTATGGATGAAAATTGTTCAGAAATCTTTTTATCTCTCTCCTTCTCTTTCCCGTTTTTTTTTCATGACAATATAGTACATGTACAATATACGCTCGTACATGACATAGGAATCATGGCTTGGTAACATAGTTAAATGGTTCGTCCAACAATTAGCCGGTGTTATGGTTGAACGGTACTCTTACCATATTGTACTAACTATAATGTTTCAATAAATTCAATTGCTCAATTAAATTTTACCTACTGCTTACTCGATAGTATAATAATTTGGCTGAATGACAAAAAAATAACGTGTGTTTTGGATCTTTTAAATGTCGATTATCGCAGGTTTCCTATGAAAATCGAGTTTTTACAACCACGTTAACTTCAATTCAATGTTTAAACCCTATCGTAACATTGTAAGATCGTTGAATGCCTGTCACGTGATAATCTTTAAAAATTAAACTTTTTTTACTTTGCGATTTCGTTAGTGTATAATCGATGAAATTTAATTCACGAACCATAATTTTGGAGAAAAAAAAACAGTTACAAACATGACTTAGTCCTCTTTATATCATAACAATGTTTGTAAATAATCAAAAATAACTAAAAAATAAATCTAATATTCTGCACGCATTGTTCTCGGGGAAAAAAATCCCTTCCCGGATTTCACAAAAACGTATTCCTTGGTAGCTTATCGAAAAAATCATATCCTCTACTATTGTAACTTAGAAACCTTTCACATAAATAAACAATAATGTAGTAAATAAATATTTAGAATTCGCAATATTAATTCTGTGGTAAATATCTACAATATTAGGTGGTATTTATAATATAATTATAAAAATATAATCATGTTATATTAACAACACATATACAAATTGCACGTGATACGTTAAAATTATCCAAAAGTACTTAAGGAGCGACAACTATGCTGTGTTTATCACCGAAGAAATTAATTGTTTTATAATGAAATAAAATAAAAACGTAATTTTTGGAAATCATCGAAAACAAAAAAACAAACACTTTCTATACAACTTTCAATATCTGTCGTTTTACGAAGTGTTCATATATTTTATTGTTTTGTGTTATTTCGGAGAAAAAGCGTCTCGTAAATACGAAATTAATCGCACGAATTTGTATTCTTGATATTCTGGTCTTGTCATCTTATTATCCGGTGGATCCGAGACTTGTGCACACCGGTGCACCTAAAACATTTGTATTCGATTTACATTTTTTCGGTAGATTTCTCTGTCTCTCTCTCTCTTTACCTGATCTTCCTACTCATCTTTCTATCAACCTATACGCAATACATTATTTGTACCTGTGTTTCTTGTCTTGCACAAACGTGTTTGGCTCGAGTCGCTGGCACGGCAGACGGTCACCGGTTTCAGTGTCGTTTCAAACCAGACCACGAGAGCAGGTGGGGTGTACCTGGACAGCAATATTATTTACTATAAACGTATCGTAAATTGGCATCGGTTTTCTCCGGTGGGTGTTGTCAGCGTAACATTATATCCACGTAAAAGTTCAACGACCTTTGTCCTCGACCTCACGTAAACCATGCATGATATAGTTCTAACGTGCACCGCACTGAATCACCGGTCAAACCGCTTTTGTCTATTCATTTACGCGATACTTTTAAGCGCGCGCGCGCCCGGCTCTGGTACAACTCTTCCGGGCAGGACTCGCGTGTACGTAAGAACGTGCGCGGGACTTGCTCGAAATCTCCTGGACGGGGCTGAATATAAAAACACGACTGTGGTGAGAACGACGCGGACGGTTTTCTGGCGATAGGTTTAGGTCACTGGACGCGGGACGTTCGCAAAGAATTATAGTACATAATAATAATGCGTAACAATGAATGATAATAGCATACGAATTCGGGCCGACGAACGGTGCCAAGAT